AATAATGTTAAATAACAGTTAGCTTTATTACACATGTTTCGGCGGGAACCTAACACCAACAGCACAACAATACTTGTGATAGACAAAAGATGACCAACAACACTATTTATGAATACAAACAAAGCGACCGAAACAACAGCACGTCCAGTGTTTGCGAAGGTCAAAGGTGCAGACGATGGCTGAGAACACAGTTGATCCAATGGCCGTAACAAACCTTTACTTTGTATCACTTATTGTGGTTCCAACCGGCAATTTAGTAGAGATAAAAAAGAAACTTTTTTTACCGGCAGTGGTTAAATAATGCGTGTGATATGTCTCTGCCGGCACCTGCAAAACATACAATACGCTACAGGAAATTTAATGAAAGGTTAGACCGATTTTTACTTTTAGCAGTGTATTTTTACTTGGCGTGTCCAACACCCAGACGTTTGCTATAGTATACTCTGGGGACTTGGACATTATTTATGTTGACAGAACTTTCCGTTATAATTTCTTGAGAGTGTCTGACTTCATCCTAACATTACAAATTCTGATTTTTTTTTAAATTAAGATTTAGTTTATTCTTTTCAGCCAATAATAATGACCTTTGTAAATTGTGATCTTTCAGAAAGATACCTCTTAAACTATTTTATCGTTTGAGCCGCAATTTTGAAAACATATGGTGGTAATTTGTCAACCTGCTTATAATTAAAAGAGATGTTGTTCAGCAAATTCACATGACACGGGTTCGATTTAAATAGCTTTTTTGTAAGGGTTCTCTTTATTATAATCAATGATTTTTTCCTCTCTTTTGTGAGGTCTTTCCACCTTTATTTCACCATTTTTCCCCCAGATTTTCAAATTTTGACTATCAATATTAAAAATTTTTATTCACTAAACTCGGACTGCGGTAATATTAATACCAATTACATAACTAAGTCATGCATACACTATGACCTTAGCGTAAGTAAGATGTCAACCAGTATATTGAGCTTACAATCTAAAGTGTTCAAACTAAACTTTACTACATTGCTGTATATATACTTTTAAATATGTATATATTGTTTTTTCTTATGTGGTTACCAAACCTTATTCCATTGTTTCTTTTCATATTTGTTTTAAAATATTTATAATAATATAACTATTAATTAATTTAACATACATTCAAATACTTTACAATTTAATCCCAATTATTCAAATATACTGTAGTACAATAATAATAATACTAGATAACAAAATAAAACTCATTCAAGTATAACGTTCCATTCATAATTATTTCCTTTTACAAAATTCTTAAATATAATCCATGCATTTTTACAAACTGGCTTACCTAGCTCTGTTAGAATTTTAAATTTTGTATATAGCAAATACTGCAATGGAATACATTTCATTTTTAAATCTGCTATCACAGCCTATTAATAACTATTTAAAAGAAGATTGATTATTGTCAAGTTTCTTAAATAGATTTTCTATCTTTTTCTTCGACTGCTCCACACGTATCGCATGTGTCAGCGTGTTTTAACTTCCATTTAAACAATTGCCTATTTGTTGGGGAGATTTTGTTTAACAATTTATAATTTAGTTGTGCATATTTTCTATTTTTATCTTCCTTTATTTTTCTCATCCAGACCTTAGACCAGTTTATTTTTTCTCCAATAAATATATCCCATTTACTTTCAACATAGGGTGGGATAAACATTTTATCAAAAAAACATGAATAAATGTCTTTTGTTTTCATTTTACCTATACTATCATATTCATCAGCCATCACGAAATCGTCATTGCCAATACCATTGTAAAGTCTTATGACGTACAACCACTCTTTTGGAATAGTTTGTATTAACGTGGCATATTCACTAAGCCAGTCTTTCCAAAAAAATTGGTAAAACTCTACGGTTAAACCATCGCACCCGGGCGATTTGTTTAGCTCTATTTTATTTTATTGCTACATCACATTCATTAATTGTGACAGCACCTTCACAAAGAGTTCTTCATCTGTCAAGCAGGTTACGTTTAAGTTTTTAAAGTAAGCGTCTATATCAGTCAGGGGAATCGCCTTATTTGCATATAGAAGTTTACTTTTTCTCTCAGGATTTCCTTTTGGTCTGACAACACTACACCAACACCACACCACATTAGATTTTTATACTTTTTATGTGTTTTTAAAATTCGTTGTTTTTCTCTAAGCTTAGAAAATATTTAGTACTACGTTCACCCAATTCTATCCACTTTACACGCGAACGTATATATACCCTTTGTCTCCTTTTCATAAATCTTTTTTAATTTTGTCCTATTTTTTAAATTTTTGTCTCAATGTTTCCGTTTACACCATTTACGAGATCCTCATTCAATATTTTTATTTCATTTTCTAAAGTTTCCTTTTTTTTTGTATATGATTTGTTAATTTTTTTTTACCCCAGCAAATAGACGCCTCTTTTATTCTGCTTTTCATGAGTTCCCATAATATATCCGGGCTAACATCACTCTCGTTCGCAAAGGTATCAGTAATGATTTTTCTAACGAAGTTTTAATATTCATATTATGCAACAGACTATTGTTGAATTTCCAATAACCAGGTCCATTTTTTGGATTCGTCAGACTCAATCTTTAAAGAAATCGTCTGATGATCAGTTAGGATTGCTGGTCGAATGTCGCATGACACAACTTCATTAAAATCAAATAATTGTTTTGGCACGAACCAGTAATCAAGCCGCCTATACACTTTTTTTAACTTTTTCTGCGCCAGGTAAACTGTATTTTGTCATTATTTTTATTTCTCCAAGCATCAATTAGGTTTATTTTTTTCATAAAATGTTTAACCGTAAACACACACGTGACAAAAGACTTTCTATTAATTAAAATTTTATTTAATTTTTATTGTATCAATACGTTTATCAATTACGTTGTAATCAAAATTTTTTCTAAAAAAATTGACACTCTTGTGCTATTTGACCTTGGAAGCCAATACCATTCCATAAAAAAATGTAATTATTTAATAAATCTGGTGTAAGATGTGTTTAATGTAAAAAGTAACAGATCTGTTTTTTGATCATTACACAATGCAAATATTTGCCTTTGTTTATTTTCGCAACCCTCTGACATTTAAAGAAATTAAATGCATAGAGGTCATAATATGTAATTAAAAGAAGCTCCTATAGAAAATTTTATACAAATTATTATTATTATTATAATGCAAATGAATTATTTGCGATATAGCCTATACGTGTATAGGTATTGAAGAAATTTGGAATTACTTGTAGTAGCGTTTCAATGATTTTTGTCTTATCTACACCGGCTGCAAGGTTGGGACCAATGTTGGAAAAATAGTTATTAAAATATTAGCGATTTCCTAATTATCCTTTGAAATGTTATTATTATTATTATTATTATTATTATTATTATTATTATTATTATTATTATTATTGAAAATAATTTAAGAAAGTTGACTTTTCTTTTTCGATGGTATAATATTATGTCAATCGTTTTTACGCTACTGTATCAACAAAAGGAAAACAAAAGCAAGAAACTGTATGTGTACTGAACTAAATGTGTCTTGTCATGGAACTAACAAACTTGTAAATTCAATTAGTGATAGATTCATAGCATAATAAATGATTCTGCCATCAGACTGGTAATTTCTGTAGGTTTAGAATAGTTACAGTAGACCTACAGGTAGGTTAATTTTAGTTTTATTTTACTTTTTACTTATTTTTTACCTTGAATCTCATTTCTTTACAATGGTTGTTTTTGTTATTGGGATATGAAAAAAATAATTAAAAAAATGTTAGGGAGACAGTTCGTTGTTTTCATTGTTCACAATGGCGTTTTTAAGCTTATTACTTATCTTATTATTATAAATAATAATAAGACTTTCAAAAGAAAACAAAAACAAAATTTGTCTGGGAATTTTTGTATTAAAAAAAATAGTGTTTTGTGTTATATGGAATTCTTTATTAAAAAAGAATAATTTAATAGAAAAAAACCATGTAATTTAAGAGTCCACATCTCATAGGTACTAATCCCATGTCAGGGCGTAATAATCCCCTGTCGGAGGTACCAGCTCCCTGTCGGGGAAGAGCTGGCGCCACCAACCTAATGCAAACACTCGTACATACGGCGCTCGAGATTTGATTTTTTTCTTCGATGATCTTGATGAAAATTCCCTGACAGGTGGGTCCAAGCGGCGGGTCCAGAGGTCCCCGACGGGGTGGTATGAGTACAATACGGGGATGATATGAGTACAATATTTTTAAATTTTGGTTATTTTCACATTTTTTCTTGGGTTTTATTTTTACAGTTGCGGGCTCACCCTTTACTTTGGCCGGCGGTCAATGTGGTCGAGTCTGCCCGGGCCTAGCCTGACGAGGCCTAGCGTGGCAAGCCAATCAATCTGGCGAGTTTCAACGCTTCCTGTGAGAATTTGAAACACCACTACTTGGCCCACAGTCGGTCCGCCCGAGACGGCTCAGCCTGGCCAAAACGAGGGCATAGCATCATATAAACATCCTAAAATCTGCATCTTACTTACATCTATTATTCTCAATTTATGAAGCGAAAATTTAAATGAAAAGGGAATATTAAAAATATACTGCTCACTTTTGAAATTAATAAAACGGAGTTGCATATACAGAGAGAATCTGACAATCTTTACCCTTTACCCCGATCTGTCATTCCAAACACCCTTAAAGTTTTGTGTCATTTTGAGTACATCATCTTGGACAAGATGTCAATAATGTAGAGCTCGATATTTTTGGCAAAATTTACTGATTACTGATGACAAGATATTCTCATGGCTTTGGAGCGTTTATAGTCCAATATTTAAATTTCTGTTTATCTTGCTTTATTCTTATACCAGCAGTCATGTTATATGATTGCTCTCTGCTTGTACCTATTAAATCCAAATATTTGTTTGTTATTCATCACTTTATTCTATTTCAACATAAAGAACATACATATCAAAAACGAAGAAAAAATCTCATTAAGAACGAATCGAAAAATGAACAGATAAGCCATAGACTCGTTCATTTAACAAGACATGCAATAGAGACGAAGAGGGACATTCGCAAAAAATATGATTGCAGGACATATAGAAAATGTGTAAAATTTACACATTTTCTATATGTCCTGCAATCATATTTTTTATGAGTGGGAGTTACTCGAAACTTAAGCCCACATACATCATTTTTTGCTGATAATATTTTTAAGCTTACTGGTATTGCGTTATTGTCGTATATCGCAATTGACATGGCGGCTCCGGTCGTAATTACAATGCTGTAAAATTGTAATATATTCTCTTCTCTACGGATGATATTTCTAAGTAAGGATGTTAGACTCAATCTGCATAATACATACCGAAGTGTTAGAATCGTAGGATTAAATGTGGTTATATTAGATTTAAGACCAGCATCTTCTGGAAAATGGTTAATTGGAGGAGCATTGCATCTAAAAGAAAATCAAATACGTGAAATATTATTACTACTTAGTGTCTTTTCGGTTTCGTTTAGCCATAAAATCTTTATTACATATTAAGACAATTGCTTGTAATCGGGTGGCGAAATTGAAAAAAAAAAAACGACCAATAAAATATTGACTGCACTGACCACAAATAGCCATACCAAAACTAAATACTCGAATGTTCGTCAAATTATTCCGGATGTTTTTTATACTAACAAAACCCCAATACAAACTAATGAAGCTGTTTAGAATCATCGAGATTATTGTGATATAAAAAAAAAAAAAGAATTATATCAATACCTGGAGGGTGTAAAAAATATATAGTAAATGTTATTAATTAAAAAGTTTCCATTATAGAATAGAATAAATAATAAAATGAAATATATGAACAGTCTTAAATTAGCGTAGCTTATTAAAATAAAACCATATGATAATAAATATTATAAAAAAATTACAAGGTATTTGATAATAACGGTTACATTTTACCGAAAAAAATAAAAACAAAATGTTTTGCAGTATGAAATGAAACCAACCTAATAACAAAATCAGCCATGTCTATTTCATTGCCACATTTACTTCCACTTAAGATTCCACCATTTCCCACAATAGCACATCGTTTATTATTACCTTTGATAGGGGATATCTAGAAAAAATATACCCATGATTACCGTTTTCATATTCACATTTGTTTATATTACATTCATGTATTTGTGTCTCTGATATTCGGTTTTATTTTAATGAATATATATATATATCTGTCTCTTATACACATCTTGTGTACTGAACTAAATGTGTCTTGTCATGGAACTAACAAACTTGTAAATTCAATTAGTGATAGATTCATAGCAAATAAATGATTCTGCCATCAGACTGATAATTTCTGTAGGTTTAGAATAGATACAGTAGGGACAAAACATGTGTTGCAGAAACCTGATTTAAGTTTGGTTCTTTACCAAAATACATATTTTTTACCAATGAGCCCCTAATTATGTTTTTAATTAACGCTTTGCAAGTGCTTTCGTATCTTTAATGTCAGCCAAGTGGTTATCAATTATCAAGCCGAATAAAACGGGAGAGCATGGTAGGCCGTGAACCAAATAATTAAGACGAGGAAAAGAAAATGACAAGGAAAAGAAAATGGCGACCAACCATCCCTGATTTCCAAATTTACTATTCCGTGCTTGAGAAAATAATATATTTTGTATAACAGGCCATCCAAAGCGACATACAGACAGCATGCTCTATCTTAAAACAATAAGTACATATTACATAATACATAATAATAGTAATGACTATACCTTTGGTAGCATGTTGTAAAACTTTTTACTTATTGTTACGGTTTTATTCTGGTTCATGTATCTTATAGTTTCAGATAGTCTGACGTCATTTTGGTTAAGAATCATTTCAGTATGAACTGACTTTGCAATCTCGTTTCTAATGAAATAAACATAATAACGCCAATTATACAATTTTATGCTTGTTTTCTAGATGATTTTACGACTGGCAACTTTAAGATACTTAAAGGAATTAAAATGTAACAACACCCCTCTACCTTTGCTATTACTTCTCACCTAAAAAATTAAAACTTCGAAACAACCATACATGATTATTTTAAAGCTAATACTGAATCGGTAGACATGACAAACGTCTTTAAAAAAACGTTTCATTGAATAAAAAACGAGAAAAAAAAAAAAAAAAAAAATTGAACGCAGTGTGTACCTTAGTTTATACACATTCGATATGTTTAGTTTCCATGGTATCTGTAATGTATCTGCAATGTCTTTAATATTTTGTTCTTCTTCAGAGATACCCATAATATATTTCGTTTCTTTGTGCTTTCTGTTCTGTTCTTTAGATGAATTTATTAGTTTTGCCAATTCTTGGTGGGCTTGGATTTGAAGGGGGAACAAATCATTCTTTTCCAGAACACCTTTACACTTACAGGGAGCCAACGGTTGAACTTTCCACCTTGAAAATAAATAAATGATATGTACATATTAAGGACAAAAATATAGATATGAACAGAATAAAAAAATTATTTTAATATTCTGTGAATATCATAACCACTATAACACAGAAGCACTGAAACGAATTAAAGTTTTATGTAAACTATCTTAAATAATATATTATTTGCACGGAAATGAAATTTCAAGAACCGGTACATCCGAGCAACATCTGATTCTTTTATCGATTTTGTTTTTCTAACAAAGCCTTGTATTCAATTCTTTCTTCTTCAAATTTGCTTTCTAGTGGCTGAAATTGATAAAGCTGATCCATTTCTTTGCTTCCTTTTTCATTTTTTCATATGTCGCGCTATACGATATTTGTATTACATAACCAGGATGGCTGTGACTGTTATACCTAGCCTATTTCATCAGCTCTACTCACAATTCAGTAAACATTTTCAGTAAGCGCTTATACTAATATTTTAAACCGTCATTTTAATACTTTGACGTTTGACCTTTAGTGTCTCTATAAATATGTTTTATATGGTGTAGGTGTAATGAAATAAAATAAGTGTGTAATTCCCTTTCTATTGACACCAAACATGACCATGTGTTATGTGGTGCGTCGGCAATCTTGAAATTCAAAATTGTGGCTCATGACGTAAGAACAAACATGATTAAATTCACAACAATCTAGCTGGATTACAAAGCAAACTGTACTAGTAGCTTATATAATCAATCTTATTTAAAGTACATTTTAAATGTATTTTGCGGTTATTTTGAAAAAATAAATTAACACCTGTTTTTGCATCATGTATTAATCTGACTTGAGTAACAGTAGTTTTTATATGTCTAGCTTGTTGCCTGTCTAGAAACTATGAGACACCAAAATCATAGCTGTAAATTATTTAGTTCCAATTTTATGCACATTTTAGTTAAATTTGGTCTGCTTCACCATGCTCAATACTACTCAATCTGGTCTTGTTTATTTTAACATGGTAGGCCATAATTGAACTTTAGGGGACAATATATGAACAATTTCTGATATGTGTAAACTGCAAAAAAAAAAAAAAAAAATTCAGCATCAGAAGAGCTTTCCAACGATACCAAACACGACTACGTTTTTTATTTTAATATTTTGACGTTTGACCTTTAGTGTCACGTGATTTTATTTATTGGTTTACATCTCTATAAATATGTATTATATGGTGTAGGTGTAATGAAATAAATTAAGTGTGTAATTCCCTTTCTATTGACACCAAACATGACCATGTGTTATGTGGTGCGTCGGCAATCTTGAAATTCAAAATTGTGGCTGATGACGTAAGAACAAAAATGATTAAGTTAGCCATTAAATTCACAACAATCTAGCTGGATTACAAAGCAAACTGTACTAGTAGCTTATATAATCAATCTTATTTAAAGTACATTTTAAATGTATTTTGCGGTTATTTTGAAACAAATAAATTAACACCTGTTTTTGCATCATGTATCAATCTGACTTGAGTAACATTATTTTTTATATGTCTAGCTTGTTGCCTGTCTAGAAACTATGAGACACCAAAATCATAGCTGTAAATTATTTAGTTCCAATTTTATGCACATTTTAGTTAAATTTGGTGGCCATTTTGAAAAATGGCCGCCATTTATATACAAAGTGAAAAAAACTGTCAACAAGGCTTAGGATATCTGGTTATGTTGACTGCTTCTAACATCCCACTTCCCTAACTTGATTTCTAGGCCTCTTTTTTATTTTTTCCTGTTTTATTTGAATTAGCAGGAAGTGTACTAAAACTAAACTTCAAAATACAAAATGCAAGCAAGAGTTCCAAACAAATGGAAAGGACAATCCAAGTCAATTTATATATATGGCGAAAGAAATTGATTGCCTTCAGAGCATGTTAAGACGATTTGGCAGTGTTTTATTGATGTTTTTGTACTTAGATCTTGATGAAGAGCTTAAGACACGTTTTGTTCCATCCCAGCCTCCGACTATTTTTTTCATATATATAAATATATATA